AATAACAGCTATCTTATTAGTTTTTTGAAAGCACTTCAAACTGTATAGTTGCAAATGCAAATTTTTGGTTGCCCTAATCATGACGTAGTACTTTATGCTTCAGTGTGGCCGAGGGATGTAAGAATCAAGCCGTTTCATTTTTTCCAAAAGTGGGGGTCCAAGACACCCAGCCCGTAATTGAAAGTGTTCAAACTAATGATCTTACTGGTCAGAAAAGCCACCAGTCTCCCTCTGATAAGGCCTCTGGTCTAAATATATATTTTCAGAACATATCAGGTTTAAGAACGAAATCTAACATTTTTAGTTCCTTCAGTGCGCAGATGGACTATGACATATTCGTCATTGTGGAATCTTGCCTGCATGATAGTGAGTTCATGATAGTGAGTTCTTTGATCCTAATATGTTCGACGTTTTTCGACAGGGATCCTTCTAAGACGGGTTCCGGCAGAGGTGGAGGTGTTCTTTTCGCCTTTCGCCTTTGGGAAAGTTAGCTCCATTCTATTTTTTCCAAGACTAAGGACTTGCCGCAATTGGTCCAAATCTTCAGGAGCTAAGACTTCGGTTTTTTAACATATGCAGAAAACACAAATGTATACATCCAAACCTCTCCGTGTATGACACCCCTATCCACTATACTGACACATTGAAAATATTGGGAATAATTTTTGACAATAAACTTACTTTTAAGCAGCACTGTCATAATGTTAAGCTTACTTGCTAGACTAAATATTATAAAGTTATTATAAATTGGCTTTGGACTCGTAATTTACGGACACTGCGCAAAAAGCATTTTAAAGGGCCTGTGCCAATTGATAGAAAAGTTCTATGGTGGAAAAACTTTTTACTATGGTGAGAAAATTTTACATTTCTGCTGTGCCAATTCGTAACTTTTTACTGCTGGAAATTTTTGACAGTTGCTTTGATGCACAAGAAGACTATCGAGTTTGCAATTTATAAAATGCAGCAATTATATAGAAAATATTTGCCTTTGATGATTTCAATTCTTCTGGAACTGAAATCCATGCATTTATTAGACCTTTTAGCAGTAATATTAGAAATAAAAACACGTCAAAACCGTCTGGTAAGTGTGTTCACAAAAATATTTAAAACCGTGTACAATTGTTTGCAATAAAAACATATGTCGTTTTAGGGTATTATGTACATGCAAGAAGACGTTTATTCCAAAATACTAAGCAGCATTATGAACGGCGATAAAAAGACTATAAAAATGCATCTTAGGTTGTCCTCTGCTTCGTTTCGAAAAATTGTAACTCACATTCCCAAAAAGCGCCACGGATGGTCAGTGGAGTACGAAGTCATTTGCTTTTTGTATTGGATGGCATGTGGATGCAGCTATCGAGTAGTTGCTGGATTTTTAGGCATAAGCCGTTTCACTGCGCGAAACGTTATTCACAAAACCTTGAAAGAAATTATTGCAATGCGTGGTTTAATACGGCATGGCACTGCAGAAGAAAATGAAAGGGTTGCTGATAAATTCTGCCAAAAAACAAAATCAAACGCGTTTCGTAATTTTGTTGGAGCGATTGATGGCACACATATTCGCATAAAATGTCCTGTCAACAAACACGATGAATACATCAATCATAAAAGGTTCTATTCTATCCAGGCGCAGGCGGTTGTGGACAGCGATTATAAATTTACAGATGTTTTCATTGGCTACCCAGGATCTGTACACGATACACGAGTGTTTGTGAATAGCCCCTTATATGCTAGGGGATACTATCCTCCCCGGGGCCAATTCTTATTCGGTGATAAAGGATACCCATGCCAAACGTTTCCGGTGGCAGTTATCACCCCATTCAAAGAACCTCTGACATCAAATCAAGCCAGGTTCAACGTTGCGCATAGTAGAGGAAGAATAGTTGTTGAAGCAGCTTTTAGAATTTTAAAAAATAGATGGAGAAACATATTTAATAGAGATTTGGAATTGAAAATTGAAAACTGTATAAAAACCGTATTTGCGGCATTTATATTGCACAACATTTGCATTCTTGCAGATGATTTTGACCTATCTTCCCTGGCTACTGAGAATGAAACTATTAATATAGAATCGGTCCAATCTGCGCGAAATATATCCGACTCTGAAGATGGTTTAAGAGTACGAAATGAAATTTTCAATGAATTCCTTCAAACTATTTAAGTATCAATAAAACAAGACTTAATTAAAGAGTTTCTTAGGTTTTTATTTACATATGCATATCAAAAATACTTATTTTTTTTTAGTTTTTTTCATATTAGTCTTATTTACATTTACTTAAAAATATAAAGTGGTATTCAATACCATCACAATAAAAAGAAAATCATATATGGAGATCCATTTTGTTACTAAGCCTACTAGTTTTTAAAAAGAGTAATATATCTTAAACTAAAAAAATTCATCACATTACTTATTGTACTGGTTTTTCTTATATCTAGAGGTACATGTTGTATAAAAATAATAAATTAAAGTGAATTCAAGCAACAAACAAAACAAACAATTAAATACTACACTTCTACCAAAAAAATATTTACATAAAAAAGATAAAATAAAAAAATTCAGTTAAAAATATTTCCTAATGGCACGGACTACTCAGAATCCGAGTCTGAGGTCAAGAGCAGCGCTGATGCGTCGATACAAATACAGCCAAAAGCGTTGATATTTTTTTATTGATTTTTTTATCCCTTTTATAAATGTGGCGTTCTAGTTGCTTAACGCCATTTTGTGCTGCAGAGCGCCGGGATGTTGATGGCAGCGGACTCTGTCTCGACTCTTCGCTAGACGTCGACTGCGAATTTGTCAAGGACTCAACCGGCTGCAGTGCCGAGACAAATGTGGCGTTTTCCTCTCTCCTTGGCTGCATCGACACCTCACCATCGCCGCTATCAATTAAAAATGGAGGGTGAAAATTATCTTTCTTGGAAGCATATGAGTGGATGCAGTCAAAAAACTCCCAATCTTTCGCCTCTTCAGCAGTCGCCTCTTCACCTGTGCCATCGCCCGAGCGGTATTTGAAAAAGCTTTTATATTTTTTCATCAACGCATTCCATTGTGCTTTACATGCTTCAGCACTTT